GAACCAAACACACCAGCACTCTGCTAAACATCTTTAAGTAATTAAGTCCACTCTTTTTAATTGCTTACATGTATACAGATCTCAACTAATGGTGAATTCCATCCTACAGATTATAACACATGGTTCTTGTTTCAATGCAAGTTAACACAGACCACAATTTACTCTGCAGGGCTTAATGCAACACCACTGAGGTTAATTTTAAAAAATCTGGCTTCATTTCAGCACCTAAAATCTCCTGATCATTCAGGACCCCATTGCTCTAGAAAGCGCACAGATTTTTCTTCTCAGGACCTTGACACTTAAGTCGTCTTCTTCTAACTGGACTGAAAGTTTATGCAGACTCACTGTGGAAACTCCTTATTTAAAAGCTGGACACTTGCTTTTCTCTCTTCAAACAGGGTGGCATTCATTAACTGTCACAGAAGAGATCTTGTTGTGCTTGGTTCAGTTTCAGAGAATAAAAATTGTGTGACAGATGCTAATTTACCTTTGCTTAATGGCAATATGTCCCGGTAAATTGAAAACATGAAGAGTTACTAAGATACTGGAGTAACAGGAATAAAGGGGATGAGAGGTAAAGCATTGCCGGACCTGGTACTGTCCAAAGGGGATGACCTAGTCAGTGACCTAAGAATCGATGGGAAGCTGGGTGCTAGTGACCATGGGCTGATCACCTTTACTATCCATCACAAAGCTGGCAAGTCAGTCAGCGATACAGAAGTCCTCGACTTCAGGAAAGCTGACTTTCACAAGCTCAGGAGGCTCATTGCTGAGGACCTAAGGGACCACGACTCAACAGGGAGAGTAGTCCAAGAGGAGTGGTTGCTCCGCAAGAGAGCGATCCTGACGGCACAAGGGATGGCCATCCCATCTTGGAGGAAGGGTATCAAAAGGGCACAGCAATCCCCTTGGCTCAGCAGGGAACTCGAGGACCTCCTATGCCTCAAAAGAGAGACTGATAAAGGATGGAAGGCTGAAAGTACCACCAAGGAGAAGTACTCAGCACTGGTCCGTACCGGCAGGGAGCGGATCAGGAAAGCCAAGGCTGCAACCAAGCTCCATCTGGCTTCACATATCAAGGATAACAAAAAGTCCTTTTTCAAATATGTACGGAGTTGGAAAA